TGCGGATTTCTTATATTTTTCCTTCTACCCTGAAGATGGAGGCAATACGTTCCTCCGAAACGTCAGTTAACACCACATATACACGGTGCCAGATCCCAGAAGACTGCTTTCTTCATAGTCACCGCCGTGAAAGCCTCAAATCGTTCATTACAGTGTTCGCAAGAGCCCTCAACCACTGTGAACTACCACTCTTTTTTATAGTCATCTAGTTTTAAAGGTCTGAGCATACTACTAGACTAAAAGCGTTCTTGTTACTGGGCAGACATATGGGAGGGAAATGTAGGCAGAGAAATCTGCCCCGGATCATACTGACTCCAAACCTAAGATGTCTAATACAGAAGTTCAGTATCTAAGCTCTAAACCATCAGATAACAGATTCTCTTTATAGACAACCACTTGTTTAAATGTAAACATTTTCACCTCTAGCCTGTGTTCAGCTTGGGCAAGCAAGTCTTTCTGTGCCTGAAGGAAGTCCTTCAGCATGGTGGTGAGCTTCTTGCGATACTCCATCTCTGAAGCGAGTCTACTGTTATAATCTGTCAACAGCTGCACAGCTTCATTCACTTGAACTGATAACTTCTCTGCTGATGCTTTATCTATAAGCAAAAGAACTGACATAAGCAGGCGCTGACATGTCAACCCTATAGAAGCAGTGCCGTGTAAAAATATAGTATAGTAGTTTGTGGTTAATGAAATCGTGTTACAGACAGCCTCTATTTTATATAACGGCTTGGTTCCACAAACCTTTATTTAAGTCAAATTTTACATGTCAGATATTTTCACAAGTATGTATGTTTGTCATAATATATACTTTTATATGGCACTTTACAAGCAGTAAAAATAATTTAACATTAACATTTGCCTAATGTTAAACTTGATGTGTGCAGTAAATAGGGGTACAGTGGCCTCCGTAGTCTAGAGGTAACGTTCCCACCTCACGACTCGTAGTACGTGGGTTCAAATACCCAGTGGAGGTCGTCGAATTTTTAAGGGCGGTAAAATTCAGGGAACAAGTCCTCCGGGAGGGACTTTAAGCCGTGGGTCCCGTGTTGTAGCTTTACGGCACGTAAAAGAACCTCATATCTCCAAAGGAGGTCACTGAGCCAAATTAACGGACGTTTCCTGCCCAACAGCAGTCTCTAATACCTCTGGTAGATGGGAGAAGCATTATAGATACCTCTCAGCTAGTAGAGCCGGTCTCGCTGGCTGGGCGGGACTGATGGTAAGCACCAGTACCGGTAGGATATAGAGACTGGTAGAAATCATAGAGGGAAGCACAATGGACCAATACAGGTCTCAGTGCATGGGGAAACCCACCCTCTCCAATAACTAACTAACTAAATAGGGGTACAATGAGAGGTAGCAGAAATAAAAATATACAAGGAAAATAATGGTAAGAATGTGAACAGTGACATCTTTTGTGGCCATTCAGTCTCCATATAAAAGAACAGATAATAAAAAATGAAACTGTTCTGTGATAACACAAACACAAGTGTTATGCTACAAAATAGGCCATTTTCGCATATAGTGGAAAAGAAACAAAAAAAATTACAAAACTCTTTAAACAGATGCAAATAAGAATAGCATTTCAAACAAAAAAAAAACAATAAGAACATGCTGAAACCACACCTACAAATAGGTAGATATGATAAAAATGATGGTTCCAGATGAAATGTACAGATTGCACACTAAATTACATACGACAAACAAGCTGAACATTCTGTATCAGATATGAAGAGCACATACAGGCAATTATGAATAACAGCAGTAACTCCGGATATTCAAATTGCACATTACGTACAGGACACACATACGGGAGTATAACTGATACAAAGAAAACGTTGCAAGAATTAAACACCAGATAGTGACACACAATATAAAAGGCAGACAGACTCCAACTTAGCACTCACTCATAGTGGTCTAAACACGCAACACAACAAAAACAGCCACCCACATAAAGTAATCGTCCAGAACATTAACACACATTATATTAAAAAAAAACACTAACACAAGACATTAATACATGTTACAGATACATGAGTGCATAGATGGGACTGCACATCAAATATTAAAACAAGAAACAGAAGCACACAGTTTCTGCCACCAATTTTTAAACACCTGATGATGACTGATGTTGGTTGAAACATGTAATGCAATGTACAGAAAGTTTTTAATAAGTTTCAGAGAGATGCACTGCACATAAGATAGTGAATCAGTGACATCTGTTGAATAATAAGTTTTGCTACACACATTAAATCAGGAAATAAAAATCAAAAGAACTTTCCACTACAAACATTACCTTCTAGTTTCGAAAGAAGTCCAATTTCTGAGACCTCCGGGGGTAAACTAGCAATCTTTTCCCTGACAAGTGCATCACTGGATGCAGAATTTTCTAGATCCTGAAATGAACAAACAAACTTTGACAGTCTGTTATGCAATATGATGAGGAGCTACACAATAAACTTTGGATTACAGGGTTTTTGATCTTTCTCCATCATCCGGTATTATAAAGAACACATTTTGGAAGCTGATCTGTTTTGGGGATGTGAGACACCTACTCTGTTAGGTCTGTTAGCGAGATCTAACCCCAATCACTGCTTTAAAATTCCATATTCTGTGACAATTAATTTACCCCTCAAAATTAAAAATATGGATTTCACCCTTGCAGTATTGGGAGACTTAAAACCCCTATTCCAGACTATAAATGATAAGCAACAGTTCAGTGTCAATAACAGGCTACATTACTAATATTTTTTTTTAAGAATAATTTATAACTTTCTAGAAGTTTCATAAAAACAACCACATTTTATTTAAACATATATTTGTCCTATACTTCAACAAGCAGCAGGAAATGATATAAGGGGGAGAGGAGGTAGAGCTCCATTATTCTTAACCTTGGCACCAGAGGGAGAGTAAATGGTCAGCTTTATGTCTCAGCCACTTTACTTCAAGGGAAAGAGGCTTCAGTATCAAATGGATAGGAAAGTGAGTGAGTCCTAGAGCCAGTCTGGACACAGTGGAAAACAGAAAAATCTCTTGCCCATCCCAGGAATCAAACCCAGATTCATCAGATGTCTAGCCAGTACCCTAGCTGCTACATCAGCTGGGCTATCTTGGCTGTTTATCATGACAGAAAAGTACAAAATATTTCAGTCCGAACACCCGATGAACTTTTCAGAAATAAAATGGTTATTTAAACTTCTGTGTTAACTGTCAAAATGTTATTCAAAATAAAATTATTCCAGTGCCAAACCACATCCAAAATCAGCAATGATATGAATCCAATACCTGATACACATGAGAGGAAAGCGAGCAGATAAAAGATGTCTCAGAACCAGAGCATTAGCCATCAATTGTTGCTAGAACATCAGTTGAAATTTTCAGATATTAGTGTCAACTAGTGTAAAACCTCTTGAAATACTTGTAGCAACGAGAATTTGTCAAAAATGAACCTCGTCAGAAGTATGTAACATAACACAAACATCTCTACATTTACAACGAGGTACTGAACTTGACAGAATAACAATATCCGCTAAGTGCTGTTACTATTTAGCGGATCTTTTTTGGCACACTGTCTCAGGCACATTATTCCTGCTGCCATCTTCTGCTCCTGTCTGTAACCACTGAATCAATAATGACAGACACTGAATCACTGGCCTTAAAAGTGCACAGACATGTGCACCCTTACACACATACACAAATACATATGCATGCGACAATATGCACAAAATTAAGGGCCATCTTAACTACTGATTTGCTCGTCTCACCAATAAAGCCTTAATGAGTTCTTCAGGTTCCGGAGGGTCTCCAGCGGGAGTCCTTGGTGACAGTGTCACATGCAACTCCTTCATCCCATCTCTCTCAACTTCTACTTCTGTCTCGGACTTCTTACGCTCTCTTATCGGAGATCTGGACTTGCCACTTGCCACTCTCTTGGGTGTCTTATCTACTTCTGGTCTGACACATTCAACCACCACCTTCACTTTTTTTTTGGGAGGTGAGCCCTCTCTTTGAGTTGCTCCTTCTGTTTCAAATCATATACAAAATCATAAAACGAATGTTAAGACTGGCTAATTTAAGAACATCTTAAGCTCAGTGAATACCTACTGGTTGAAAAGTAAATGAATTCTGATGCCAAACCATTTAAATCTTCTATCAATGTATACACATCTTAGAGCCTAATATGAATTGCAGGTTGCACGCAATGAAGGAGTCTGATATTCCTCCAGCCCAGCCATGCTGCCAAGGCTTGCACTCCCAGTGGTACTAACAAGCCTGCCAGCCAATCAATCACAGACAGCACCGACCAGGTCATAGCAGATGCTGGAGATATTCCCTTTCCTATACGGCCATTCCCGCCACTTCTAAAAATAATTTACAGTCACATAGTTTGGTTCCTCCTTTTTTTAACACTGCAAACCTAAAACTCTGTTCTTCTGTCCAAGGCATTAGAGGAATACCTTACCCAGGAAATAGTTCCTCAATTATCCTCACAAGGCTGAGTGGACCCCATTCCAGATCCATTATGTCTCAGAAAATCTGATAGCGCCGGGAATCGAACCCAGACATCTGGATCTGTAGCCAGGAACTCTGACTACTAGACCACGGAGGGAGTTTACTCATTCCTAAAATATTTTAGAAATGAAAATCAAGACAAAGTTTGAAGAATTATATGAACACAGCTTATTGATGCATACACATACAATTTTCCAGTAACACATGTGTTGGTGTGTTATGAAATATTGAAATATATTTTTGTGTCCTGACATGAATGGTTTCGAGATACTACTTTAATGAGTAAACAGACATGATTCTTCTCCACACAGATATATATAGCTGCCTGCAAAAGCTGGTAAAATTCTGACTATGCTGTTTCACATGTAAAAAGAATCCAAAAACCCCACTCAAGAATTTGAAGATCTATACTATATGCATTTCAAATCCTATAGTAAAAAATATACAAAGTATGTAAGATTTGAGATTTTCATGACAGTGACTATGAAGAATGCCGTCCTCTGGGATATGGCGCCATGTAGATCTTGTGCGAACTGACATTTTGGATGAACGTATTGCCACCATTTCAAGGTAGAAAAATCTGTGAGTGAGGAACCAGCGTCAGCAGGTGGCTGCACACCTCCTCACAACGGTTCCTTGCTTGCAGAATTTTCTACTCTGAAATGGTGGCAGTACATTCCTCCGATACATCGGTTCACACAAGATCTATAAGGCACCACATCCCACAAGACGGCATTCTTTATACAAAGTAATTCGATACATACCCAAACCTCGTCTGAACTCCTTTATGAGCTTTGGTTCATATACGCCTCTTTCTTCCCATATCTGCAGAATCCTTTCAATACTTTTTCTAGTTTTCTCATCATTTTCAGGAACTGCCATACTTTCAAATGCCTTCCTGAGAACATTTCCAAACTCTTTCCCAAACTCTGGACCCTTCTTCTTACTGTTTTGGATAACATCATTTGCCAGATACATAAATGTTAACTTCCTATTATCTTTAGCTGTGGAGAAAACACAAGATTAAATGCTGCCGCACCGCTGACTGCACTAATACCATACATACAAAGTGCACATATACATACACACTCACATTACCTCTCTCTCTTTCCTTTCTTTTTCGCTCATACTCATATCCTAGCCCTCACCTTCCCATTCTTTCCAAAAGAAGAAATGTAACTGGCAATAAGATAAATTACAAAAATTCATTAAGTCATACACTTGTGTAAAGCGCTACTAAGAAGTTATATATTTGAAACTTTGGGCTAGCAGACAATTGACCTTATTAATGCATAACAAAAAACATTTCACATGCAATATCTAACTGCTTACATACTCAAGAATCTTGTGTACATACATGCGACATAATTAAGTATGAGTATGATGCAATCTTAGAACACAAGTTAGATTTCAACACTATACATCTTTTCTTTTATTGCTAGTGGGGTGGGACTAAGTCCCTTGTATTGCGGCCATTTCTGGCCTATTGTACCAGCCCCAGATGATGGGTGAGGGTGATTGTGGAGCAATTGGTGGAATGAAGATTGGCAGAGGAAACCGAAGTACTTGGAGAAAATCTGCCCCAGCGCCACTTTGTCCACCACAAATCCCACTTGAATAACATGCTCGTACATAAGCTCTTCATCACACGAAAAGGTGTTATAAAACTTTTTTTTATTCGAACTATTATCTGAAAGAATAGTGAAATACTGATCAATGTCAATTTAGCAAATTACCTCATGTTTCCGTTAAATATGTTCACAGGATGCAAGGAAACCGACTTGAGTAAAACTCTGGTGGGAACGTAATTGCTTGCCATTTTAAATCGCAACACGGGGAATGGGGCCCCGAAAACGTTAATTTTACTTCTCTGATGTTCATGTTTTTTTATCCGTTATCACAAAATGATAGTGTAATGTACTAGCGGTCATTAAACGAAAATTATTATTCAAAATCATCGTGCACCTGTTAAAAATATTTGTATTTACATGTAAATAAACATACAAAATTGGATTACTGCTTACTGATAGCTTACCTTTCTGAAGCTCCCTAAACCAAACTTTTACAATTGTGGCATGATGTTTCCTATGATGTATCAACCACAAGGAAAGTGTCTGAATGCTCTGTTGTGAACTGTTTAGGTCTGCTAGCTTTTTTGATAAAGCACCTTCTGTAAAACCAGCCATCATCTCACGATAATATTCTGGAAACTGTTATTAACTAAATTACGATACTCCGTTGTTTTGATTATTCGTTCCAGGTATGTCTAACAGAGTTCGTCAGTATAAACAAATCTTCATTCACAAACCTGCACACTCGAGTTCGATTTCGATTACAAACCGGAATGTAGAAAGTTTATATCTTCATCGCTCGAAGCGCGACAATCACATCGCGTTTATAATTGTAGGCGGGAAGTGAAATGGTGTTACTAATTTGAAGTGGGATAAATTTAAATACTATATAAAATGAAACATTTTCAGCAGTTCCGTCTTACAGAACCATCGCCACTAGCTTCAGTGAGGAAAATGGACAAGGTAATTCAACACATTGTCACATTTATTTCAAAACCTCGTGAGATTGATATTTCACGATTTTGAGGTTACTGGCGGAACCTGTTTAATGTTACTTTTGCTTCCATGTAGTAAACCTTCAGAAGTTTAGACTGAGCAGTGCATTTCACTCAATCACTCACTCACTCATGCAGCTGAGCCCTTCTTGAGAAGCCGTTAATTGTGCAGCTACTCAAGAACTTCCCAGAATTTTATGGAATCTGAAGGTTCATTACAATGTTCACATGAGCCTTCCACTGGTCCCTATCCTGAGCCAGATCAATCCAAGCCAAACCATCCCATCCTCTCTCTCTAACATCCCTTTTAATATTGTCCACCCACCTATGTTTTGGTTTTCCCAATGGTCTCTTTCCTTCTGGCTTCCCCAACAGTATCCTATATGCATTCCTCTTCTCCTCATGCCCTGTCCATCTCATCCTCCTTGACTTGATCATTCTAATTATACTTGGCGAAGGGTACAAGTTATGAAGCCCATCATGCAGTTTTCTCCAACCTCCCGTCACTTCATCTCTTTTTAGTCCAAATATTCTATTCAACACCCTGTTCTCAAACACCCTTAGTCTATATTCCTCCCCTAATGTCAGAGACCTAGTTTCACACCCATACAGAACCACAGGCAAAATTATAGTTTTGTATATTCTAATTTTTATGATTTTGGACAGAAGATGAGAAGACTGAATTGTAGCAAGCATCACCCGAGTTAAATCTCCTCTTAATTTCCTCCTGAATCAGGTTTTGATTTGTTGTCATTTCCAAATATCTGAACTGTGCCACATTTTCAAAACATCTGTTTCCTATCTTTCTATCATGAATTTGCCCGGCATTTTGGTGCTGAGACAGCAACATATACTTAGTTTTCTCTGTGTTTACCTCTAGACCAACCTCCATCCTAGTGTCAATTAAAGTTTGTGTATTTTTCTCTATGATATCTATACTATTGGTGAGTAGATTTTCATCAACAGCGTAGACCAGCAGCTAATGTGTCCCATTTAATTTCAGTCCCACCTGGTTTCCCTGGACCTTCATAATGGCATAGTCTAAAGTAAAGTTGAAAGGCAGTGGCAATACAGCATCTCCTTGTTTTAGACCATTCTGGATAACAAAATTATCAGACAAATGTTTACCTATACAGACTTTATTTGTTTAAACTCATTTTAATCAGACTAACTAGTTCCAAGGGTACCCCAAACTATCAGAATATTGTACAATACTTCCCTCTAACTGAATCATGCGCTTTCTTGAAGTCTACGAATAGCTGATGTACTGTCTCATTGTACTCCCATTTTTTCTCCACTATCTGATGAATGCAAGAGATCTGATCAGTAGTTGATCTGTTAAATTGAAACCCATACTGATGATCCCCAATAATTTCATCTGTATACAGACTTAACCTTGAGAGAAGAATATTGGATAAAATTTAGTATGAAGCTGATAGATGTGATATCCTCTGATAATTACTACAGTTAGGTTTATCACCCTTCTTTGAACTTTATAATAATAGAATCCTTCCACTGATCAGGCAATTTTTCCCTATTCCAAATCGAATTAATCAGCTTCTGGATCTTAGAATGTAATATTTCACCTCCTGCTTGAATGAGTTCTGTCAGAATTTGATCACTATGTGGCGATTTATTCTTTTTCAATTTTGCAATAGCATCTACTAATTTGATTTGATTTGATTTCTGGTCCGTCACACTATTAATTACAAAGTAGATAATTTTCAGTCCAGTATGACGTACAAGTTTACAACACTTCAGTCTTTATTCGCCTTACATGTTTCGATTCAAAAGAATCATCTTCAGAGGCGCACCACTATGAGCAGGAAACACTGTCACATAAGATGTTTTAACATTATGCACTTAGGTGAGCACTATTCATAACCTAAGTGCATAATGTTAAAATATCTTATGTGACAGTGTTTCCTGCTCGTAGTGGTGCGCCTCTGAAGATGATTCTTTTGAATCGAAACATGTAAGGCGAATAAAGACNATTTATTCCTCTATACAGGTCTCTAATGTTCTTGTTCTTACTGTTCACTGCAAGCTCATCAATTTTGTCTCTCAGATATTCCCTCTTTTTGTTCCTGAAATGCCTGCTGGTTTCACATCTTATATTGTTCAGATTATCCCCATTTATTTTGCTTGGATCCTGTAACCACTGCAATTTGGCTTGTTTCCTTTTTTTCTAATAATTTTGAGCATCCTTCTTCAAACCATGGCTTATGCTTCTTCAGTTCATAATACCCTTGGCTCTCCTTGGCAGAAATTTTGATATTCTCTCTAATAGTTTCCCAAGCTTTATTAACATCCACCTCAGTGTCCAAGTTTTCCAAAGCCGTGAACCTATTTGAGATTTCAACACAATACTGCTCTTTATCCTCTACCTCATTTAATTTCTTGAGATTGAAGGTCTCCATATGAACTCTGTGCGCTGTTTGTTTGCTCACTGCCAGTCTTTCCCTAACCTTTGCCACCCTGTTTATTTGCTCAGTATCATAATCTGATGCCCTGAATGATCAGACATCAAGTATACTTGAATGCCGTCTCCTGTCTGTCACCCTTGTCACCATGGCATGGCACGTCCTCAGGTTGTGGATGGAGGAGACGCCCCCCCCCCAGTTATGTAGGATAGCGGCAAATATATTCAATAAGCAGTCACAGAGAGCCAACAAGGGTGATTCTCCAGCTTGGGGGTTGGGCGTGGTGTAAAAACTCTTCAATGTAAAAAATAAGCTTGTCACGAAAATTCTACAGAAACCTCGGACCTGGAGCAGTGCATTTACTATTTAAATTCATAAAGCCTCTTATACATGCAAAAGTATGTTTTTTTATACAATTCTGACCACCATTGAATAAATGTAGTACCTTAATTGTTGATATCTGTTTTTTCTTTGAGTTTGTATTACATATTACATTATTGACAGAAGTAATTTTATATTACACTCTTTAAATAGAATTTTGAATTTATCACTGGAAGATTCAAAGTGATTTAATCACATACTTAACCCAGTTTGATTAGTCAGTGGTATATTTTGTTAATAAAGGTTAGTCTGGAGTATAGAGACGCATAAGGAGGTTAGTTACATGTTGCTATATCTTAGTAAAGATAATATTAAAATGCTTATTTAGATCAATAATGAAGGGCTGCGCCATAACTCAAGCGGTTAGTCACTGGCTTCCCACGGCGGCGGCCCGGGTTCGATCCCGGGTCTGGTAAAGTGGTATTTGTGGTGGATAAAGTGGCGCTGGGGCAGGTTTTCTCCGAGTACTTCGGTTTCCCCTGCCAATCTTCATTCCACCAATTGCTCCACAATCACCCTCTCCTATCATCTGGGGCTGGTACAATAGGCCAGAAGTGGCTGCAGTACAAAGGACTTAGTCCCACCTCACTAGCAATAGATCAATAACGAAGATAAAAGTTAAAAATAATTCGTCATTGTGACAAGAAATTGCTTAAACTTGATACTAGCTGGTGTTGAGACAAACGTGGGTGCCATAACTTTTGATAAATTTCAATTTGATCAAAAGAATTATCCATGGTGTACATGTGTCCTTGTTACTCCTATATCACAATTTTACTTAATCCGAAACTACCCATGTATTAATTTGTATACGAAGAAATACTGTAGAAAAATCTGTCAAATGTGGTTGAAAGGAAGAGTGCAAAAGTTCTCCCATTTCTATTGCAACACAGAAGTTAATCCTTCTTGATTTTAAAACTGACATGTCTTTAAGGTCTATTCGTGCCATATGTAATAACATTGACTTAGAGCAGGCCAGGAACAGACCGACAAAATATTTTAAAACTTCACTTACTAGAAAATATTTAAAGAGTTATGTTTGTAAATACGGAGCACGCTGTAGTGTGGTAAGTTGAGGCACTATGGTACAAGCCAGAAGGTCGCGGTTTCGGTTCCCGATGAGGTCACTGGATTCTTCAGTTGACCTAATTCTTCCAACCGCACTATGGCCTTGGAGTAGACTCAGCCTTTAACAGAAATGAGTGCCAGGAATCTTCCTGGGGGTAAAGGGCGGCCGGCGCGTAAGACCGACAACATACCGCCATCTGTGAGCCGATTGTCTAGAAAATAGGGGAGCCGCGACGTCTCACAAAGTAATGAGTCTTCGCAGCTTTTTACAGCGATACCTTTACATTTTTTAATTTGTAATATCATAAATAACAATTATAACTCACCCACGCAAATATTTCAAGTTAACAAGAATACGGTCTTTTGGGATGTTCATGTTTGAAAACTTTCAGGCATTTAAAATTTTATTGGTAAGATATTTGAACAACACTAGATGAAGTTTTTGTATAATTATTCACTTTTAGAGCCCACCGAATTGTCTGTAATCCTATATGAGGAAAGAGGCTCGACATCTCAGTCTGTATAACGCCGGACCACAACCTGGAGAGCCGAGGAAAAGGGTTTCGACTCCCGGCAGTGGCAAGGAAACTTTTGTCTCATCCACCTCCAGGCCGGCTCATAGCCCACCCAATCACGTGTCCAGTGGGTACGGAGGCTCTTTCTCAGAGGATAATGCGGTCGGGATGTGAAGCAGACTACTTTCCTCGAATCAGTACCGAGGTTAAGAATGCTTGGAGCTATCCTCCCACTATCCCATATAGTTTTATGGCGTAATGCTTAATTAATTAAGCACGTCTACAATTTTACCTTCACCTTAGCTATAGATTGAAGCGTTTATAGAACGCAGACCTCATAAGTAGGCCTATTACCCTCGGAGCTTCTAGTATGAAGTAGGTTGGCGTATGTTGATTTTCCTGTCAGATTATTGCATAGAGAAAGTTCACTTGCGGGCCTCATACCCATATGTCATATTTCAGGCATTTTCTACGCGTAGTTGAGGAAGTATCTTCCGCGTTCATAGCATAGTATTAATTTCATTGAGCGAAATTGATGAAATTTATGTAGAAGATACTAGAGCAGGTTCACTCAAGCGGTA